CCTGAGACCGGGTCGACATCCATAACTACCGAGTCTTCGGAGATCACGGGCAGATTCAACTTGCTGATCGAGAAGTCTGAGACCTAGGCAGCCTTAAAAGCCGCTCCCAAGTCCTCCTCGTCTTTCTTCACCCTCTCCAGTTCCTCTGCGACAGTGGGGGGGGAGAGCCACCTATCCTAGATGCCTTATTAAAACAACACAAGGTACATATCTCTCATTTCACAAACCAACTAAGTTTGGAGTCCTACTCCATTTCACAGGCGTCTCCAGATTTACAATTCGACCCCAAACATAGCCAGAGCTACGAACCTCGAGCCAACGAGCCCAATGCAGCTTGCAGCTCGCCAGGGACGACTGAGCCCTATGTTTGGGAACTCAGAATAAATTCGAACCCCTTGTCCCTACCTCAAAGCCGAAACTAAGAGATGCCTAGTTCAAATGAAAGCAAACTCCACCTCGAACACCGAGACATTACCGCGACACAATTTGATCCATGTTCTAAAAACAAAAAAAAAAGTCGAGCTAAAAAACTTAGCCATTTTTTTCAGAACAAACGGATCACCGTCCGCGACCTAGTTGCTTTATCTAAGTCTGATAAACCGAACAACAAGCTCGCAGTTAACAACTCGAGCATCGCACTCACGACTAGCAATCTGAGCCACGAGCTCGACAATCCTAGTCTGCTTCTAAGTTATTAAACGACCTAGCAAATATCCAACTCGAACAAGAAATGTAAAAGGCAAAAGATAAATAAAATCTAAGGCGCGAAGCCCGATTGCATTAAACAAAAGCCCTTCCGGACACGGATGAGTTTGAAAATAAAAGGGATTAAAGCCATCTCGGGCACCAGAACAAACATAAAAACCCCACCGGGCAATTAAGTTCGAAAATTAAATTAAAAAAAAAAGATAGAAGGGAAAAAGAAAGGAATCACGGCAGTCGTCGGGCAAACCATCCGCCTTCTCCTCTTCGCCTCCCTTCTCTGCGTCGTTGCTACCACCTTCTTCCACGTTCATACCAAACTGATTGAGACCAATGGGCGCTCCTGAGACCGGGTCGACATCCATAACTACCGAGTCTTCGGAGATCACGAGCAGATTCAACTTGCTGATCGAGAAGTCTGAGACCTAGGCAGCCTTAAAAGCCGCTCCCAAGTCCTCCTCGTCTTTCTTCACCCTCTCCAGTTCCTCTGCGACAGTGATGGGCTTCGCGGTGAGCTGTTCGAGCATCTCCTTGTTGGCAACGCACTCCTGGAGATCACACTCGTCCACACCCTCAGCCTTTTTCTTTTCCCACTTCAGCTTGAAGCCCTCGATCACCTCCATGAACCTTCGGGACACCTCTTTCTGGGCCTTGCGACCGGCTTGACGGATTGCACCCTCGCGCTCGCGAATCAAACGAAGGTTCTCCTCTCTCGCATCTGCAGCCTCATGGTGAGCTCGCAATGCCTCGGCCTGGGCCTCAAAGATCTAGTTGGTGGCAACCTTGAACTTCTCACCCATGTCGACCAACTTGTTCTCGAGCTCTGTGATGTGAGCCTGCTGACCTCGGAACTGTTTAAGGAGCTAAGTCTGGCGAGCGACACGTTCGCGGCCTCAAGGTCGGACTTCAGCTTGTCGACTACCCCCCCCCCCCCCCCCCCCCCCCCCCCTATTTCCTTGATCTCCTCCGGATGAGGAACGTCCTGCAGCCTTTGCTCAAGTCGAGCATAGAGCCGGTTCCCAGCCTTCTCAGCCTGCGAGCATCAAGAACCAAAGCGCTAAGAACAGTAACACTTAACCAAATTTACACAAAACAAAAGGTACTCATGTTACCTTCCCCTGAGCCGCCGCCATCTCCACGTAGAGCTCCCTCTCGGTCATTTTCTTGAGAGCTGGAAGTTGGCACCCGGCAGGCTTGAAAGGACGCCACATGGCCGCAATGCCGTCGGAGTCATCCGTGATCGGATGATCCTTGGTATGCTCGAACTTCCAGTAGAAAAGCCGACTACCCGTCGAGCCACTACTCCCGTTGGACGCTGATGGGCGCGGCTCAGCGGCGCGACTTCCTCTGTCGTCTCTTGGTCTCTTGGAGATGGGCTGGGAAGACTGCTCGGATCCTTGGTCATCAGTGGGTTGCTGGGTTTTGCCTGAGCTCACGGAAATTGCCCCCACTAACCTGGAAGGGGGGTCGGGCTGAGGATCCATCATCTGCTCAACCTCCTCGTCGCGGAGTTGAGGTGCAATAGTAGCAGCTGAGGTGAGTGCAGCCTCGAGGGCCTCCATGATGCTCTCGGAGCAAACCCTGGAGCTGCTGGAACCTGCCGCGGCTTTCCCGGCCCTGTGACGAAACGTTGGCTTGCGAGACATAGCTGAACTTGAACTTGCTTAACTAGAAGAAGGTAAAATAGAACGGAGAGAAAGAACTCCAGTTGCCAGCAAAACAAGTCATAGCATGTCACTCATCCAGCGAGCAAAAGTCGTTATATTAACTCATAAAAAAATATAAGGGACCAAGAGACGTACCGGGTGCAATAACCAGATCCGGGGCGGGTGATGAAAGGGCTCGTCGAACTCGTTCTCGTGTGAACGTGCTCCAGACGACTTCCCCTCGCCTAAACAGCTCTAGCCGGTACTCGATATCAGGGTCTCTCGGTGCTCTGGATAGCTGACCTGATAAACAAAAAAATGAAGGTCAGAAAACTAGTCGAGCAAAGTAAAGCAATAACAACTAGCAATCATCCAAGCCTAGCTAAACAACCGCTGCCCGTGAACTCGGTTGGCAGTCGGGCAAAATTAAAGGCTCCGATGGACACCTTGTTGACCTGGAATTTAAACCCGGTCTTCTCCCAGCCAGAGTCCTTCTCCGGCTCTCCTCGATGAACCGCCAGTTCGACCTCGGGGATGCGTAAAAGGCTCCAGGACGCCGAGCGTTGTACTTAACTGAGAAAAACACCCTCAGGTTCGAGTACCGGAAGATAATGTTCTCCTCTTGGGCCCGCACGTCAGATCTGATCATGGCTCGAACCCGATTCAGGCACATCTGCGGGAAAGCCAGCCGCAGGTCCGCCAGCACCTCAAGGACAAACCGAGGAATCGGGAAGAACAGCCCGCAGTCTCGGAAATATGTCGCGTACGCGCAATAGAAACCCGGCTCAACGTTCGCCGGATCCTTCGCCGGCGTCAAGACCGCCAGCTCCACCCCATTCGGGATATCGCACTCTCGACGCAAGTCGTCGAGGGCCTTCTGGTCTATCTTGGAAGGACCCAGAACTACGAGGTTCTTCCTGGAACCTTTCCCTTCGACTTTTACGATTGCAGACATCAAAAGGAAGGAGGAAGCGAAACCCAGCAAAAAAAAAAAAAAAAAAAACAGACAGAGGTTGAGGTTTTTGACAGGAAAACAAACACGAAAATCTAGCAAACGATCTTCGGAAAACTTGTATTTCTCTCAAAAGCGACAATCAGAAGTTGCAGAAAACTAAAAAAAGAAGGAGTTACCTTTAATCGACAAACGGAAGCGGTTAAAGAAGGAGTGGAGAAGATGGACTTTATATCGAGGTAATTATTATTAACCTCGAAGATCGCAGAGAATCTGGCCACGTGCCAATCTCAATTGTTCGATCTCCCAATCTCAACTGTCGAATATTCGACCTCGACGATTCGACGCAATGCACAGCCCGATCGATTGAGGCCATCAGATAGACTCTCTTTCTCTTCATCTGGACCTTCCACGTCATCAAACTTTAGTGCAAATCTTCTCGAGAGATGCACTGAAGCTCGACCACCGAAACAGAAAAGTAAATGATAATATTTACTTTGAATCTCGACTGTCCACTTGGACGAGTTAATGGCAATTTCACCTCAACACGCCAAGTTACGGTTTCAAGGTCGATCCTCGACCACACGATCTGCAGACTGTTCATCTTTCCAGATTCTGAACCGTCGATCCCGAATGACTATCTGACTCCATGATGTCAGCACGATCAGACACAAAATCTTTCAAAAGTCCCATCTTGCCGTCCATTAAAGATCGAGCTCGCTCTCGTTAATGGGTTGGGGGCAATTGTTGGAGCTGGATTTAGCACCCCAAATCCGGCCCACTCAAGTCCAACGGGCAGGTCCAAACTAAGCCAAAATGATTGGGCTTCAACCTCACGGCCCAGACCCATTCACCTTTCAACGATCCAATCCTGAGCAGCAAGACGCTCCGTTCAGCGAGGTCGAGCTCCAGCTCGACCAAATCCTGAAAAATAAGGAAAGATCTAAGCCAAATTAGAGTATATTATCGCCAGTTCAAACGAGTCCGAATATCTTTTTTCAGTTCATCTCCTTCATTGAAATCCTTGTAACCGTTTCATTCGACCGTTTAATACAAAATCCTTATTTTAGTTAGTGCTAACTTTATATAGTCAATCTGTTCGAGGGAATCTAGCACTTAATCCTCTAAAATTTTCTTCTTATAAATACACATAAATTTTTAAATGTGAATTTCGGTATCCATGTTTTCTTATCCTAAAAATTTGGAAACGGCACACTGAACCACACGTAAATTTTTAATCGGGGGAACAGTATTTCTTCGTTCGACGTGGACCATAAATAAGATCACTCCAAAAGTAGAAACAAATTTTAATTTGATTTGCTGAAAAAGCCCAATTCGATTTGTTATAAATGTCAAAGCCCAACTTGACCAAAACTACCCCTGGTCAAATCTATCGACAAGCCGAAACCTTTGAAAATGATAAAGGGTACTTTCGTATTTGTCTATAGAAGTTGAAACACACAATTAAGTAGGTGGGGAACACCATTTTTCTTCCGTCTTTTGCTGATTTGAGCTTTGGATCTATCGAAATTCTGAATCTGAAAGCGGAAAGGTCTGTAAGGAAACAATTACGACCATCATTGTCGTTCTGCTTATTTTCGATTTGAATCATTCATGATTGTTTTCTCTTTCTTCTAATCTGAGATTATCATTGATTTGATTCGATCTGATGTGTTGTTCTTGTTTGCAGTTTTGAGTAGAGATGGCTTCAGACAAGAAGGTTCTAACTTTCGAAGAAGTTTCACAGCACAACAAAACCAAGGATTGTTGGCTTATTATCTCCGACAAGGTTAGATCTCGTCTCGTTAGTTTGACAACATCCCTGTCTAGTTGGATTTTCACTACATAGTTCTCCCTTCGCCATTGATTTTGTGTAAAAGCTTCGAATCCCTAGAATTGTTACTGCTTAGTATTTTTGGTATATTTGAAAATCACAATCTTTAGTATATTTGGTTCGTTATAAGCGAAATCTGATGTAGATTTAGTGACATATTACATTGCTTACTTGATTACAATCAGTGATTGTTGCGTTCTTGAGGTTGATCCAGTGTCCATTGATGATTATGATGTTTGGTTACTTACTACTATGCGCTCAGGTTTATGATGTGACCCCATTCATGGATGATCATCCTGGAGGCGATGAAGTCTTGTTGTCCTCAACAGGTTTGTAAAAATAATCTTAATGATGATGGATTTTATATATATACATTTGGTTTCTCTCTGATTCAATGGCTGTTTCTGTTGTGGTTTCAGGGAAAGATGCAACGAATGATTTTGAGGACGTTGGTCACAGCGACGCCGCGAGGGACATGATGGAGAAATACTACATCGGTAAGATCGATTCGTCTACTGTTCCAGCGACAAGGACATACGTTGCACCAGCACAACCGGCGTACAACCAAGACAAGACACCAGAATTCATTATCAAGATCCTGCAGTTCCTTGTCCCAATCTTGATCTTGGGTCTGGCTCTTGTCGTCCGTCAATATACCAAGAAAGACTAGAAGCTGAGGCTTGCTTTTGCGTGCCACTGGATGATCCCTCTGTATCGAAGATACCGTTACTGTTTGGTTTCTAGACTGCATCTGTGTCCTTTACTGATTACTATTCTTCTTGAAACTATTATGAACCAATAAATTAAAATGTGTTGCTAGTTGGGTTTCTTTGTGTTGATTCTATGGTGAGATGTTTTCAACTTTGATGATATATTAATAAGTGAGTGCTTCTTTATCCAAAGATTTGGTTTCAATTAGTGTCAGTTTGGGTTTTCAGATACTACAATTAAAGCTTATTATGAACCATACCATTTGTGGAATAAAGTAGACAGTTTCAGACTCTTCCCATACATTTTCAACAGGAATGTTGTCTATTAGTAGTAGTACAATGAAAGTGATAAGATAGTACTGTGTGGTCTGTGTGATGAGGAAACAAAAAGATAAAAGAGAGACAAAGTAGAACGGTAAGAACCAAACCGAGATAACCTTTAAAACCTTGACAAAACGCAGCCAGACGAGTGCAAAGGAGCTTTTTTGTGTAGTAAGAACACTTCATTTCTGGCTTTTTTGAATAAACAAACACTCTGAGATCAAATGCTCAGAGACTGAGAAAGAGTTTCAATCTTGTCATGGAGTGTGACGACAAGGTGATGCGCATCATCAAGAAGCTTCCAGACATCAAGCTGACCAGCCATGCTATTACACTCTTCCACAATCTCATCCATACTACTGTACTTCTGTATGATCAGCTTCCTACGCAGCACCAACGCAGCGATCGCGTAGAGCAACAGATCATCCGTCGGAGGCGCTTGCTGCCTGATCCTGCTCCACGGCGACTTCCCGACCCCAGCTCTAATGGCGGCTTGATCAGCCCACATCACTTCCCAGAGACAAAGCGTCTGCTCGAAACTCAGCTCCCTCCTGAACATCACGAGAACCATCCTGTAAACGAAGCTACAATCCTCCGCTTGGAGATTCTCCAAGTGTTTGTAAAGCTGAGAGTCTTTGGATTTGATGATCTTTGACACCATACCAAGCTGTCTCTGTATCCCTGCCTCGTCTAGCCTGAAGTTATGCCTCGCTTTCTTCATGAAACCAACAAAGCACCAGAAAGCCTCGTGATCCTCCGAGATCACGGCGAGGATGGGAGATAACAGGTCGCTCATCCCTTGGCAGTAGCCTATCTCTGGATCATACAGAGCATATGCTTCAAGAATGGCTACGAGCCTCGCGGCGTGGTAAAGCCTGCAGCTTTGCAAGTGTTCGTAGTCTTTCAACCCCACTGACTCAGCTAAACAGCGAGCTTTGGTTTCTGTTATCGCAGTTGAAGATGGAGAGTAAGTTGCCCAGTCTGAATCCGCACGCAGAGCATCAAGCCGGATGATACGTTGCCACGTGGAGAAGTCTTCGTGTACAGCGACTTCTACTTGGATCTCGGATGCAAGAGTGGAAATATTTTCTTCAGAGTTACTATTATTATCCTCCTCGGGTTTTTTCTCATCGGAGTATTCGAAAGATGAGAGTAGCTGGACATCGTCACTGTCATTGTCTTCGCAAGAGTCTGTGTCGGAAGAATCAGTGTTCACAGCAGAGACCACTTCTTGATTCGTCAACTGTTGTCCGGGTGTCTTATAATCATCCATGAATCGAACACACTGATCGTTTGCCTCCTCCTCAGAAGGAAGTTCCTCCTCAAGATTATCGGTAATTCTGTTGCCACGCTTGAGAAGCATCTGGCACTGTCTCTGTAGTTTATTGTACTCCTTCCTGCATTCAGAGAATGATCCTAACAATGATATATTTGTCTACATATAAGAAAACATTGTATACATTATATATAGTAAAGTATATAAATATTCTCTAACCTTTTTTGAGTTTTAACAGCTTCCCTTTCTTCACTAGTACTGTTCAGATCATAGCTGCCATACAAAAGAGAAAAACAAGTTGAGAATCCAATCCAACAGAGTGAATAAAGAGGAAACCAAGAACAAACAACAACAAACACTCACACTCCGAGTAAGAAGAGCCACACTTCTGCACGAATACTTGGATCAGCGCCCTACAGAACCATACAAGTAATATCAGAAATCAGAACCATAAAGACAAGTAGACAACATAAGACATATATGGTTGTTTGTTCAAAAGACTCACTCTGCTTCTAACTTTCTTCAGAAATCCAACGCCACCGTCACGGAGTTTACCCTCCGGTGTGAATAAACTCCTCCATTGATGCGGCGTCAAAGGCCATTTCCTTTTCCGGCGAGACCACGGTGATTTCCGCCGGCTTCTACACAATAAAAAAAACAAGTCAAGTGTCGAAATTAGAAAGATCCCACAAGCTCAACATTGGTTGCTACAAATCAATCTAACAGCAACGGAAAAGAACAATCCGAGCATATAAAGAAACTTTTTGCTCGGAACTAGTGAGAAATTGTGAAACTTTCGGAGCTGTGAACATTTCAATGATTGGATCAGTAGAGAAGAACAGAATCTTAAGATCCCATCGACATATTCCAAATCTAAGAGCTTTAGGCCTTGGGACACTCACCGATCGGAAGAAGTTACTGAAGATAGAGACGAAGGATTAGCCACAAAGAGAACCGACCGAATATGGATCCACGAAGACGAAGAAGAAGAAGAAGACGACGACGACGAAGATGAAGAAGAAGACGAAGAATTAGATGAAGGAGGTGAAGAAGAAGAAGAGGAAGAGGAAGAAGAAGAAGATGGCAACGAAGTAGAAGTTGGTAACGGAGAAGAAGAAGAAGAAGAAGAGTTTCCCGCAGACGTTGAAGTATAGCTTCGCCGTAACGCCTTCATCTGATTCTCTCGAAACGTAAATCTAAAAAGAAATCAAATCGAAGAGTCTCCGTCGTGCATCTGAGATCTACAAAAGATTCACTTGAAACAACGCCATTCTTCCGTACAGAGTATCGGCGACGGAGAATCACTCCGCCGGTAGGAAAGAAGGATTCCGCCGCCTGAGAAACGGCAGCGGGAATCCGGCATGAGAGTTTAAGAAAATGACCGATTTGCCCTCAACGATCTCTATCTATCACTGTGATTCCGTCAATCGTCTTCTTCAGCACGCCGAAACTGAACAAAAACAAAAAATGAAGAAAAAGAAGAAAGAAGAAAGAAAAAAGCTAAAGCACCCAACAACTGAAGCCCCTCTTAACCACTTTGCACTTTCTTTTTCAACTCTTGTCTCTTTTTTTTTTTTTTTTGTAACTTTAGGCGCGTGGACTCGCGTTTTGCGCTTAATAATTTCACGCGCTTTGGTAGCTGAATTTAGTGGTAACACGGCGTCGTTTCCTTTTTAGTCGTCGTTTGTGGATTTTTTACGCGATAACAAAAAATATCAAAATCAGGAGTGACCAAAGGAGAGAGGACACGTGTCGAGCAACAATGAAAAGTCAAAAGCAAAAGATTTCATTGCGTCTCAAACTTTACCGCGGCTTTTAAGGAACATAATCATATGATTAATTTTGTAGATTTTCAAGTAACAATTTATATAATCTATCTGGTGAAGAACAACAAATCTAATCATAAAATGTTGACCTAATGGACCTCCTTCTAGTCGATACTAATCTTAAGATTAGCAGCACCATGGCTAGCTATGAATCTAGGTGTATGGTTGTGTCTCTGCTTTATATAGTTTTTGTTTGGTAAGATAGGACACTGAAAATATGTAAGCCCAAAAAACTTCATATGAAGTTGCAGGCTTTGATTGGTAACAAAATTTATTATTGATGTAGTTTGAGTTAAAAACACAATTCAAAAACCAATCAAGAATTAAATTAGATGTTTTTGATTTTAAGTTTGAGTTATAATGAATTATGATTCATCTACAATTTTGAATTTTGAGTTACTTATGTGTTAAATGGTTAACTTAAAACTTAATGCTAAATCAAAAAAAAAGTGATGATTTTGAAATTGAGTTAGCCTTATTTTTCTCATTTTTTTATTTTTAGTTTTGCTTCCTTCTCAATTTAATTTTTCACAAATTTTTGATGAGGATTTTAAAAACAAAATTAGTAGCAGATATATATTATTCAAAAGAAAGCTGTTCTTATAATTATAATTGTTGATTACATTTTAAATTTTTTTAGGAATAACTACCATATATATTTTTTTTTTGTCAACAGCCTCATACTTTTACAACGATCCAGAAAGCTAGATCGGTGGAGTTGAGTTTACATAATTTAGATGATAAAGGTAGTCCCGGGTATTCCGTGCTAACTTGTCCGCCTTTGTGTTATGCGCGCAGAGGATCTTTGAGATTGAGAAGAAAACAAACTCTCTTTTGCTCCTTTCATATTCCTCTAAATGTAGAGAGAATGTCGACCACTCTGCTGGATTGGACACCATCTGCACCAGTTCAGAATTGTCTGTGACAAAAACAACCGACATTCGTCTTGCATTTAGCATACAATGCATTGCTCATATTAATGCCTCCATCTCCGTATGTAGAGGTGATATACTGCATCGTACATTACACGTACCCAAAAGCGTTCCCACCATACCCACACCTTGACATATGTATATATGTATATATGAACATTTTTAGCTAATTAGAAATTTGTTTTGAAATGTACTTAAGGTTTTTTTATTATTACAGAAAAAATTTGGTTTGATAAAATTTAAGTTAGTATTGATTTCTTTAATCAATTTTATCAAATAAGAAATAATATCTTTTTATCAATAAATAATAAATATTATCGTTATTTATAAATTTTTAATATTATTTTAAATAATACATACTGTAATTTCTATATTAAAAGGTTAAAAGTTATCTATTTTTAACCAAAATGTTAACTTAGGTTTCTACATCAAATTTATTATATAAATTTACCATTTTTACTATATAATTTCACTGCAACTTATTTCAAATTATAATATTAATTATAACTTAACTGTAATATTACATCTCATTCATTAAAGTTTAAATCAGAAAAAAAAAATTACTATATAATTTCACTGCAACCAGGCCTGTCCCTGTCTTAAAGCAGATGAAACATTGGCTTTAAGCCACAAATATTTTTGAAAAATTTAGGCCACATTTTCCAAAATTCGTTATAGATTAAGTGGTCAACTAAGGAGAGTTAAAGAGAAGTTTTCTTCACATTTTGGGTTCGAATGGTGGTGATGCATATTTTACCTCTTTTTTTTTTTCTTTTTTTATTAAAAAGTTTTTATAAAAAAATTGTGTTTTAACCGTCAATGCAAAATTAGAGCTAACTCTTCTTTTTAATGTTAAAAAAACCTTTTGTGGCTATCACATAAACTGTAAATTTTCTTCCTAGACACAAAAATTTGTAACTAAATCATTTAAAATTTAGAAAGTTTGAGTTTTAATTTTGAAAATTTGGGTATTTCTCAAATTTTATATTTTCTTCTTATCATTGTCTTTTTTTTCATCACTTTGTATATATTAGATTAGATGATAGGATTTTGAATATTACTGATTAGTTGATTAACAATCAATAATTATAAATGACACAATTGTGTTAAATTGAATTTGCATTGATGCTAGTATTTACAAAAGTAACAAAGCAAAAACATATATTCATAGCCCTGTTCGTTTGCTTGACGCCAGCAGCTGCGGCTGCATCATGCGTCCAAACTGTGTTCGTTTACTAGTCGCAGCTTCCTGCGATCAAACGCTGCGATTAGTCGCTGCGGCCAGCGTTTGATTTTTTTGAACGCAACTGAAATTCAGCGTTGCGTCAAACAAACCTGCGTCAAATAAAAATTCTCGTCATCTTGTTCTTCTCTTTTCTTTGCTGAAACCACTCTAAATCTCCTTCATCGATAGCTCTGTCTCAGGTTTAATTTCTACAATTTGTGGGTTTTGAATTAATACTTTGATTTCTATAACTTCACCAGTTTGACGCCAATAGGATTGAGAGAAATCAGAAATTCGAGATTCGAACCTAAACCCATAGCGAAAGCAATGAGCTTGACAAGGATTCGGTCTCGCTTCAAAATGATAGGGCTTCCTCTTCTAATTCGGTAAGAGACTGATTTTGATATGATTTGCTCGAGAATCTTTAGCAATGTTTTTGTATCCACAGATTAATTATCTGAGTACTTTGTTATGTTGTTCAACAGAACAAGACCCTCAGTGACACAAGCTCTGCAAAATGGGCTCTCTATGAAGATGAAAACACCTCCATTATCAGCGATGCTCAAACTATCGAGACAAAAGATTCCAGCAACGACACTCAAATAATTGACTCAGGAGACAGCAACAAATGCCCCAATAACAGTTCAGGTATGTAAAGATTTCTTTTTTTTGAATCCCATCACTTTTGTTTTTTCTTGTTCTAAAGAGCCAAAGACGAGCAGCTCGGATGTTTTTAGTGAAATGCTGAATGATGGACAAGTTACAGAAGATGGAGAAACCTCTTGTAGCCCTGTGTTGGCAAGCAAGATTGACGAAGCTGAGGAACATTCTTGTTCATCCTTGGTTACTGACCAAGTGCTTGATCCTATAAAACAAGCACCCGACACCAAATCTCCATCTGCTATAAGCTGAGAGGATGTTGGAGGTTCCACTTTGAGACCATTGGGTTTAGATACCATAGAGAAGGTGAGTGAAATGTCAAATGCTGCAAACGAAGATGGAGATATATTGAAGGATCAGCAACAGCAGCAAATCAATAGTTTGGAAGTGAAAGAAACGAAACAGAGACATGTGTATGTGAAGAAGAGACGGTTGATGCAAAAATGGTGAAAGTGGAAGATGAGAATTATACTAAACGCAGCAATCAACCGCACGTTTACGCTGCGATCAGACACGCGGCTAACAAACGAACAATATTTGCTGCGTCTGGTCGCAGCGTCTAGACGCAGGATCACAGCCGCAGTCGCAGGCGTCCGACAAACGAACAGGGCCCATGTTACAATTGTAATTATATAGTTTTTAATTTTTTTTCTTGACAATAATTTCTATAATTATTATTTTTTAATAATATGCCTCCACACTCTAGTAAACACTAGAAGACATGTTTTTAATTTTTTTATAATTACAAAATCTGGACCTTCTATAATTGATGTAACTGTTAGAAATGAAATAAATGATAAATAATAATAAGATTGATGCTTATAAGAATGGTAAGATAAAAGTGCATACGTTTGAACAACATAAAAATGAAATGAAATAAATATTAGAAATGAAATAAATAATAAATAATAATAAGATTGATACTTATAAGAATGGTAAAATAGAAGTGCATACGTTTGAGCAACATAAAAATATCGATGGAGTTAAACATATAGAAAAGAATAGAGAAAAAAAATTTCTTAGACTAAAAATCTCTTAAAAATCTCTTAGACAACATAAAAATATTGATGAAGTTAAACATATAGAGGAGCCAATTGATGGAAATGTGATGATTTTTGGTGGTTTTGATCTATTTTTAATAGTTTTAGTTATTATAAAGAGCCACATTTTTTTAAAAAAAAAATGCTTTAAACCTCACAAATATCCGGGACGGCACTGACTGCAACTTATGTCCAATGGAAATTTAGTATTTTACATATTGTATTGTTGGAAATTTGCAACTGTTGAACTGTATAAGACATCAATTATGCTATTCAGTTTCTGTTTTGTTCTCAGAAACTTAACTTTAAAACCTACAAGTTAAATTTACAGAGTTTTTGTTTGCTAATTTTACATACTTTCTTTTTCTGTTTAAGTAGCTTTCTATAATTTGTAGTTTCTTTTCATTTGAATTTTGTTTTAATATAATATAACTATAATCTTTCTAAATTTTGTTGGCATTATTTTCCTTTATTTACTATAATATCTTATTTATTTTTGTTACGTTTTATTTGTTTTATAAAGTCTTCTTCAACATTTTAAAATAATCGTTTTTCCATTTATAACAATTATGTGTATAAATAATATCCAAGAAATGCAAGAAAACGGGTATATTTATTTGATTTTTCCATTTTTAATAATAACTTATTTTTACTTTTCTTATATTAGATATACAAATCTTTATAAATTTTGTCCCCTTATAAAAAATTGTTCTATTCTCATATTTTTAACAAACCAGTCCTCGATTAGAGAACAAAAAAAAACGGATTTATACAATTAGCAAACATATTTATTATATAAAATGGATCGAGTTATAAGCTAATTGGTAATCATATCTCTGAACCGAGTCAAATCAAACCTTAAACTAACCCAAACCAAACCAAAAACTGCAGAAACTATTGTTTAGCACAGTTATAACCAAAGACTGAAATGACTAGATTAATACTGATGTTTATTGCGTCTTCTTTTTTTTTTTCACTTGTGACTAAAGTGTAACGGAATAAAGAGAAAATAACTATGCCTTTTTTTTTTCTTTTGACTGACATAAAGCCGAAGATATGTTATTATATTTAATGTAGCCGCGTATGTCATTAGCCAAATGAGGAATATAGTTGGTATTAAATTACAAAGATTATGGAAAAGGATTATTTAATGTAGCCGCGTATGTCATTAACCAAAAAAGGAATATAGTTGGTATTAAATTACAATTTACAAAGCATATGGAAAAGGATTATTCTACTGTACTACAGTCAGTACTAGTAGTAGTATTTTATTTGAATGATCATGAAATATATACTTGCATGTTCTTGGAACTATAATTGTTTTAAATGGTATTCCGATTAATCAAAGAAGAGAAGTTAATGAGATTTGAGTGTAGACTAAAGTTCGTTGGATAGCGAAGACTGCAAGACTAGTAGCCAAGTTGTAGGTATAAAATAACATTATTATTTTCTAGGGACAAACATATGGTTGCTTGAAAGATAAGTTATGTCTATGTATGTAAAATACTGCAATGATAAGTTGGTCTTGATCTCTACGGATAGAGAGCTTTTAAGAGCAGAAAACACAAAGATCGATAACTTTGTTTATGTTTCCCTTATAACAATGCGTGAATGCCGATAGTGTCTATTAACGTATATATGAATATTATGGTTTGAATTGTTGCATTGCAAAAACCAAAATAGAAGACAAACCGTTTTTGTGAAGAAAGAAACTTAGTCAGCATTGGTTAGTTGTTCGGTCAAACAGAATATTCTAGTTATGTCCGAATTTAAACTTTGAATGACTTCAACGAATTGAAGTTGACATATTATTTTGCTTACGAATGATCGTTTTAAATTTGAAATGAAAAACAAACATATGTGGACAAAACTTTAAAATGGTCGGCAACGAACCAAGACATTTTTCCCTCTCTTTCTTAAACGCAAAATTGCAAACCAAATTTTATGTATAGTGAATAAAAAATTATCGTATACGTAATGTTATAGAAAATCAATGACATTTTCACTCTCGAACCATCTTTTATAGTGAGTTCTACTAATCTTTGTAGTTTTGGTTTTGACTAAAATCAAATCTTAATAAGCACGAGATCTTGATGTAAACCAAAGAACTACACCAATGTACAGTCTAATAATTACTATGATGATAGTATTATGTTAAAACTCTTGTATCTCTCGAATGAATGACATTTTCACTTTCTTGTGGTACGTATCAATTTTCTTGACAAGCTGTGCATATACATAACGAATAAACATGCTTCAATTTGTACACATGGTTCACATTTGTGGTCTATAGATGTATAAACCTCCTCTCTTATACCCTATCATCTTGTTTGAAAAATGTTCTGAATCATCGACCTTGGTGATTCCTCAGCTGCATATTCTAACTGAAGCTGCTCATCATTTGTAAGTCTCCATCCCAATGCGCCCAAGTTATCCTCAACATGTCTCACCGACTTTATTCCCGGTATCGGTACTGTCCCTTTGCATATACACCAGTTTATTGCAACCTGCAAAAAAAAAACAGATAAAGATAAACTCAATTCTTTTCAAACTGTCACATTTCTTCTCTTCAAGATCTTATGGAGTTAAAAAATTTACATACCTGAGGCATAGTTTTTCCTCGTTTTTTCGCAATCTCTCTTAGTGCTACAAGCAGAGGCTCTAATCCAGGAAGGATTTGTCGAAACAGTAATGATCTGTCAACAAAAAATGTTCAAGAACAGTTTACAAACGAAATTTTTTTTTTAGAGCAATCGATAAGGCTGGAAAATACTTAACCGAGGACCAGTGGGAAGCTTTGAAGAGGAATATTTCCCGGTCAGCATTCCTAGACCAAGAGGACTATAAGAGATCAAACGAATCCCGAGCTCGTCGCACACGCTCTTGATCTCTTGTTGCTCTTTCCCCATGCTTAGCAATGAGAATTGCACCTGAGCAGAGCATAAAGGAACCCCTCTGGTTTTGAGGTAATCATGAATTTTCACAAGCTGTTGAGGTCCATAGTTACTTACTCCAACAGCTCGAACTAGCCCCTGAGAAACGTATCATCAGCTTTCCAATGAGATTAACATTCATTAAGGAGAATGTGTATATTTCAGTAGATTTTTCTAAGCAAACCTTCTCGTACATTGCCACAAGACCATCCCAAAGAACAAGCTCTTGTAGAGGTGCGTAGTTTGCGGTTGACCAATGAAGCTGTCCGATCCCGAGCTGGTCTATCTGAAGCCGGTCTAAAGAAGCTCTGATAACAAGAAAAAGAGAGAAATGATCACATCAAATGTCCGACAAACCAGGAAGTAGAAAGATAGACAAGAGACAAAACCCAAGACTTAGAGAGAACCTGCAAGCATTCACAAACTGTCCTGAAGTTAACCTCCATGGATAAGCTGCAAACTTTGTAGCTATCACCACTTCGTTTTGTTTCCCTTTTATGGCTGACATTTGCAACCAGAAACCATCAGCTTAAGCACATTAACATAGAATTTGGAACCACTTCAGAGGGAAATTTCACAGATTATCTAATGAATCAGAGACTTAAAATCAGTGAGACCAACCACAGTTAAACTAAAATGGAAGATCAAACCCATGATTAGGGGAAAGCAAAGAGAGAGAGAGAGACCTTGAGATTCTTCGATGAATTTCCCCAAAAGTCTCTCGCTTTGGCCATTAAGCCTGCCAGTGCCATAAGAATCTGCAGTATCAAACAAATTGATTCCCTTTTGTAAAGCCAATTCGAAAGCTTGTTGAAGCTGATCGTCCATGGAAGTCTGGTAACCCCAAAGAAGCTGGTTGCCCCAAGCCCATGTCCCAAAACCCATCGGAGAAACACTCAGAGGACCCATTTTGACCTAGTTCATCGATCATATATCAAAGTGCAATCGAAAAGAGAAGCCTTTGATTACGTACATGTTTGTTATAGCTATGTATGTATCGGCGTGTACCTTTTGCCATGGCCAGAAAAGAGGGAGCTTGAGGGGCTTAAAGGGGGTTATGTTTGAAGGTTTGCTTGAGCAGTTTATGTTGGTGAAGGTCTTTGTTGTGGACAATGTGAACGCCATCGAAAAGGGCTCGAAGAAGGCTTCTGAAGCCTCCACTCTCAGTGTGTGGCCAAAAAAAAATTGGATGTCTTTTAGAGATAAACACTACACTTTTCCATATGAACTTTTGAATTTAATTATGACCAATAGGAGACCACCAAAATTATAGTGTAGGCTTCAACAATTCTTTTTTTAAATTAATTTTATAATAAATAGTGTAGGCTTCAACAATTTTTTTTTAATTCTATAATAAATCGTTTTTCTTGTTGACATTTTTTTCTCTTCTTCAAAATTATTCCACATAGCATGTACGAAGAGATTGCTCGCTTATATATATGATGATTATTTGTGTTTCCGAAGATCTTCCAGAAGATGCAATTACAAAAATAAAGAAACAAAGAAAAACAAAAGAAAGACAATTCAACATATTTTCGTCCACAGAAATAATTTAAGCTATTGGCAAAATTTGAAATATCCAAAAATGCACACATTTTTGGTCTGTGATCGCCGAGTAAAATGTCCTAACCAACTAAATAGCGTTATAGTACGAGTTTAGAAAACCAAATCCAACATAACGACAATATTACATGTGTTGTTATACATAATTTTTTACCTCCAATAATATATACTGATAGCATTAACAAATTATGGGCCTGTTCTTTTGCTTGTGGCTGCGTCTTCCAGTATACTGGAAGAACTTATTCCCCACGTAAAGAATAATTTATAACAAAAAAAAAACTAGTAAGTACGATAGAGAAATGTTAGAATACATGTTTTTATATGAGTTTGAAAGTTCAACAACAGAATAACTGAAAATGAAATACGGCACGATCGATACTATAATTAGATGTGAACAAAATAAAATACATTGTATATCTCTAATTAATCGACGTTGCTAGTTTTTTTGCATCAATTTCACCGAAGTGTTATTTCTTTTTTTACCTAAAGTTTATTATTTTTATTAGACTTTAAACGTATAGTGAAAAGGATGTTAAGCCAAAATCAAACTTATAGTCAAAAGGATATGAACACATTAAGAAATAGATTATAAGTTTTATAAGACGAGCTAATGCGTGTCTTGATAAGTTGCTACAGTCATATCCTCGTTAAAAACGACACCAATATTTCAATGTAAACTTAGGTTTCACTTTCAGGTGATATTTTTTATATAGTGAATTAGTAATACATACATAGAAGAGATTTTATCGGCGACTCGACGATGCAAATAATTACAAAATGTTGTGCTTCTTATTCTCAGAGTAGTTGAAACTTGAAATCTTAGATTGTATAAATGGAGAACATCTCTTTGGAGAAACATACACATGCAGTAAATTGATCAGTTGACATAGATATAGTAAGTCAAATAACTTAAAGAATAAATTTAAATGTTTGGTTGAGAGTTTGAGCCACTCGAAAGACAAATATTTTTAACATGTGGGATGTGTGGCCCATAAACACCAAGGATGCTTTGGTCATATTCTATTAACCACAGTACGAATATGATTCGACCTTTGTATTTTCTCCCCTATTCAAATATATTTGTTATAATAACAAAAAGCACTTTGATTTTGTATTTAGAAAGTGGGGTATGTATTCTGTTTGTTCGGTTTGGTTTAATTAGAAAGAGTTTGATTATATTAGAATTATAAATAGAGATGTCTCTCGAGGAAGCTAGGGTTTCGAGCGTGGATGATCAAGATACAACGATGATGGAGGAAGTGGAGAAGGAGCGGCCGGTAGAAGACCCGCCAGATCCACCGGGAACAGGAACCTGGACGATGAAAGTAGCGGGAACGAATGCTGGGGGGATGCCAGTACCGGACATGCTGATTGACGAAGGTTTTGTTGCGGAGAGATTAAGAGTGGAATTCCCAGAAGGTGAAGATGGCGAACCAGTGATCACAATTGGAAGGGAGGTCTTGGATGCAATGAACGGACTGTGGAAACAATGTATGATTGTGAAGGTTTTGGGCCGTCATATCCCCATCTCTGTTCTGAAACGAAGGTTGCAGGAGCTATGGAATGTAAAAGGAGCAATGCACATCATGGATCTTCCAAGACAGTTTTTCTTAATTCATTTCGAATTGGAGGAAGAGTTTGTAGCAGCGCTGACTGGAGGGCCATGGAAGGCCTTTGGAAGTTATCTAATGGTCCAAGCGTGGACTCCAGAGTTTGACCCGATGAGGAATGAGATCGTGACAACGCCAGTGTGGGTGCGGCTCACAAACCTACCAGTTAATTTCTACCACAAGGCCATCCTTATGGGCATAGCTTGAGGCATAGGCAATCCAGTAAGAGTGGACTCTACAACCCTACGTTTTGAGAGAGCCCGCTTTGCGAGAGTATGTGTGGAGATTGATCTTACACGCCCCTTAAAGAGAACCGTACAGATCAATGAGGAACAGTATTGTGTCTTATATGAAGGGCTATCAAACATTTTCTCGAACTGCGGTTTGTATGGTCATCTTATTCACGTGTGCCCGAAATTGGCGGTGGAGAAAGTAGTGGTAACACCATCGCCAACGAAGGGTGCTGGTCCGGATAACCCTACACAACAGGATGATGGATTCCAAACGGTGAGGAGTTCGAGAAGAGGAGCGAAACCATCATCGGAGTTAGGGAATCCACCGTTGGAATCGGTGGTGTTCGAAGCGGGCGTATCGAGCCGGGATTTGGGGCGTAACCTAAGGGAAATCCCGCTATTAAAGGAGAAAGCGAATATTAAGATCGCAAACAGATTTGGTAATCTGAGGGAAGAGGATATGGGAGAAGCGGATACTCGATCACCGGAGATTTCGCAGGAGGGAAATAAAAAAAACGAGATATCCTATTTTCAGAATAGTAAAGAGAAGAGTGTTGGGCACGGAGAGGGTTTGTTGACTGAAGGGAAGTTTGAAGTGGGCCATTAGGAGACAGACGAGATAAAAGGGTTGGGGGTAAAAAGCCCACGAATCCTATTTACTCTAAAACTGGACAGAATCAAAGCAAGCCCACGAATGGATTAATGTTTGGACCCACTAAAGGAGATATGGGTCTATCGGAGTCAGGAAAAAGACTGAGGGTGGAGGCGAGAAATTCAGGGAGGTCTGGTGGTGCTTTCGCCAACGAATCCGGAGAAGTAATGACGACGATTCCACAAGGGATGGTCGGGGAAGGGGCCCCTCAAGTAGGTAGAAAGGAGAACTCTACAGAGGAGACAGAGGGTAATCGGGGGTTGCCGATGATTTTCTTGGAGGGGGAGGCGGCTCAATTGGTCGCATGACAGGGTGCCCCGGTGTTTCAGCTACTTGCAGTAACAAATCTCTTAATGAATTGTCTACTTTGGAATTGCCGGGGGGACGAATAAACCCAATTTCAGGAGATCTATCCGATATCTATTAAAGAAGTTCAAAACCGATATTTTGGCGCTGTTCGAGACACACGCGGGAGGAGATAGAGCGCGACAAATATGTCAGAGCTTGGGATTCGATAACTCTGCTCGAGTTGATGCTGCAGACCAGAGCGGTGGCTTGTGGCTGTTATGGAGGACGGATATGGGCGATGTGGTTGTACTGGAGACGGCGGAGCAGTACATACACGCTCGAGTGGACACTGAAGGGGAGAATTTTCACTTGATCGTTGTATACGCAGCTCCTACCGTAAGTAGAAGAAGTGGTCTGTGGGGACAACCGGGTAGTGCAAAGTATTGATGGGCCGTTGTTTGTGGGGGGAGACTTCAATAACATTATACGACTTGATGAGAGAACCAGAGGTAATGGGAGACTCTCACCTGATTCTCTAGCTTTTGGGGAATGGATGAACGATCTCTCGTTGATAGACATGGGGTTCAGAGGGAACAAATTCACATGGAGAAGAGGGCGGGAGGAGAGAACGTACATTGCAAAACGCCTGGATAGAGTTCTCTGCTGCGCGCATGCTCGAATAAAATGGCAAGAAGCATCGGTGACGTATTTTCCTTTCTTAGCCTCAGATCATGCGCCTCTCTACGTACAACTGACACCGGAAGTAAGGGGTAACCCGAGGAGGAGGCCCTTCCGATTTGAAGCAGCTTGGTTGAAGCATACAGGCTTTAAGGATCTATTATCAGCCTCGTGGAATGAGGATTTAACGACACCAGAAGCTTTACAAGCTTTGAAAGGGAGACTTCAGAGATGGAACAAAGAGGTTTTTGGAGACGTTCAGAGAAAGAAAGAGAGAGTTATGGATGAGCTTAAGGAAGTACAAGATCGATTAGAATCAAGTCAGACTGTGGAGTTGTTGAATAGAGAGCTGGAGCTAAGTAAAGAATTTGATGTCATCCTGGAGCAGGAAGAGGTTCTATCGTTTCAGAAGTCCAGAGAGAAGTGGATCTCGTTGGGGGATAGAAACACAAAATACTATCATACGTCCACCATCATACGGAGGCGCAGGAACAAAATTGAAATGTTGTTGAATGATGAAGGGAGATGGATCTTAGAGCCACGAGAGCTGGAAACGATGGCTTTAGAATACTACAAAAGACTGTATTCAATGGAGGATTTAGACCAAGATGTGGACAGATTACCAGCGCAGGGTTTTATGGAGCTAACTCACGAGGAGCTACTGGCTCTAACTAAACTTTTCTCGGCTGAGGAAGTGGAAGCTGCGATACGGAGTATGGGGAGATACAAGGCTCCAGGCCCGGATGGATACCAACCCGTCTTCTACCATGATTGTTGGGATGTAGTGGGCGACTCGGTGGTCCGTTTTGCTCAAGAGTTCTTTCAGACAGGGGAGCTTCCAGTGGGGACTAACGATGCCCTTGTGGTTCTCATTGCCAAGGTCCAGAAACCGGAGAAGATCACGCAGTTCCGGCCCATAAGCCTGTGCAACGTTCTGTTTAAAACTATCACGAAAGACATGGTCATATGCTTGAAGCAGGTTATGCCTAATCTAATCGGCCCAACTCAGGCGAGTTTTATACCAGGACGATTGAGAACTGATAACATCATCGTAGTACAGGAAGCTGTACACTCAATGAGACATAAGAAAGGAAGGAAAGG